ACAAATAACACGGTATGATGTCATTTATAGTATTTGTCAATAAAGTTTACAGTGTTTTCGGTACATCAATAAAAAATTATAAAACGAATCAAATAAAAACAGCTGTAACAGTTGATAACTGTTACAGTTGTTTTTATTTTTATAATAAAATACTGTAAATGCTATTGAAAAATAATGTAAAACGAGCCAAATAAAAATATCATCACAGTTGAAAACTGATAAAAAAAACGAGCAAAAAAATTTGAAGGAAAAACCTTTGAGGGGTAATTTGGATATTTTTAAATTAAAAGTATTGTTTGAGAAAAAAAATAATAAAGAAAAGTATCTTTTGAAAAATACATAAAATATAAATATTTTCTATGATAATCGCACTATATTCTTTGTGTATATCCCACTTCCTGCTTGTGTTATTTATATCTCACTTGTCTTGAAGGCATGCTATCTTATTTTGTTATCCTCCGTTGCTTCGAAGGAAACTAAAGTAATTTTCTATTTTAGTACATTTTAAGGAACAGAAGAGGTATAAGGCATCAAAATTAATAGATAGATTTGCTTTAGTCAAGATAGAATAATGTTGGAAGAACCGGACCAATCAATCCATCCACAAAAGAGTAAGCCAATAAAAATAATAGCATTTTGTAGTTTGCATTACAAGTCTCTTTGTCATCCACATATCTAAGAACGGATCCATCAATAATTTAAATCAATGAGTTGCAAGTTGTATATTTTAATGTAGAATCATATGCTTCATGCAAGAACACGCAACCAATACTATTTATTTAGAGTTTTCTTTAATGTTTTAAATATATTTTTTCTAGTAGTGTTAGATATGAATATATAATAATAATAATAATAATAATAATAATAATAATAATAATTTTGAACATATCCTTCAATTAATAATTGATTTTATTATAAGTGTGAGAATATGATATCGAAGTAAATGATAATCAACAAGAAAGATAAAGTGAATGAAAGACAATAAAAGATACTGCACGCCTATTTTTCTATGGATAGATGTATACTCAGACAAATAAAGGTACGACGCACTATTTTCGTAGATATTAGTCAACCATATAAGGAAGGGTATGAGAGGATTTATAAAGTTCAATATGTAGAATATTTAGGTGCATAGATATCATAAGAAAAGTTAGAGATGACAAATAACCTATTCAGATGTAATATAATAAGATGTTGGTTGGATTATCACATACCCGAGAACCACACATTCAAGAACACAAGGACCAACTTTTATTTCTAGTCTAATATTATAACATGTCGATGACAATGACAATAGTTTAGGATGAATGAGGATAAGTTACCATGCTAACTCATTGTGGATATGTGTTTTGTGACAAGGTAATTGCTCCCCTTGGATCTTTAACTCGTATGCTAGAGCTCTTGAAGTTCTTGTTATGCTATTGCAAATTCAGTAATTATTTTTAAACCCTTAAAGTAACTTCGTTCATGATGTTTTTGAATTCAAAGAAAATTATTATGTAGATGGTGATGGCAATGATATATAGCAATATGCAATGATAATGGAAGCGGCTATGATAGATGATGATATATATCAACAATCTAAGTGTGGTGTTGGTGGAATAGTTCATTGGTGATAATAATGCTGGAGCTGTTCATGGCAAAGATGATGGCTATGAACGGATATGAGCAGCTACGATGATCTGAAGCAATAGTGATGGTAATATTAGATATAATAATGATAAATATAAGGTACTACAATGGAAAAGATTATGACTTTTATCATGAGTGGAGCAGAGATGATGGTTCAACAAGGTATATTTAAAATAAAAAATAAAAAATAGCTTTGCAAAGCCCTTTTCATGAATAGGGCTTGCATTTTTTTTCAATTTTTAAAACATTTACATATAGAAAATTTTGAAAAAAATCAATAAACCAACATACACTAATTTTCCGTTTTAATATTTTCTGCATAAATAAATAAATACTATTAAATCTTTATTCTCTAGGAAAATCTAAGGTAAATTCATACCACATGATGAGCATCAAAGACAGAGAATAATATAGCATAAGACAATTAGGAAATAGTGAGATTAGGTTATAGTCTCCACCCTATGGTGCCCTAAAAAGCTCACCAACTACATAAACCCTAAGATGTTGTCTATGTGAGAAGGGAGAATATGAGTCATTTATTTTCCTACGGTCAAAAGTTGCTTTGAGCACTATTCTTTTCTTTTAAGTTGAGTCATCACTATGCTTTTTGGGAATCCATAACATTTTCATATATATATATATATATATATATATGTATATATGTATATATATATGTATGTATATATGTATGTATATATGTATATATATATGTATATATATATATATGTATGTATATATGTATATATATATATGTATGTATATATGTATATATATA